TCTCTAGCCCCTTCTTCCTGTTTTTTTAAAATAGAATTTTTCCTGCTCCTTGACTGCTTCAGAAACAAACACTGCTTATTTAGCATGTGGGTAGGGAGCATGCCGGCTCTTTTCCCTTCTGCCATGTTGTCCTAGAGATCAAACTGAGGTTATCAAAGTTGGCAGTATGTGCCCCTACCTGCTGAAGTGCTCCACTGGCACCTTTGATACTTTGTAAATTTTATTTGTGTTGTATTTGTTGAAAAATTGGCTTTCCCAGATAGAGTGTGTTTTGTTGTAGTTTTTATGGCAAGAGCCTCTTTTAAAAGCTTTATATATATTGGTGTAGAAATTAATAAGATAGCCGGGCGATGGTGGCGCACGCCTTTAATCCCAGCACTTGGGAGGCAGAGGCAGGAGGATCTCTGTGAGTTCGAGACCAGCTTGGTCTACAGAGCTAATTCCAGGACAGGCTCCAAAGCCACAGAGAAACCCTGTCTCGAAAACAAACAAACAAACAAAAAAAATAACCTAAAGGCCAGGAATGGATTAAACTTGTATAGTATCTTGTAATGGGTCTGTGCAGCTGAATGCAAGCTAATTCCTGCTTCTTTATACCCTTAGCCCACTTACAAGAAGCGCAGGTTGGATGAATGTGAAGAGGCCTTCCAAGGTAAGAGCTGGCCCCTAATCTAGGCTGACTAGCAGTCCTGAGAGGCAGCATGGTTCTGGTTTTCACCAGCTCAAAAAGTGAGAATCAGCACTTAGTATCTTCCTACAGTGGTCATTGCTTCATCTCCTAGTACACCAGGAGGGTCTGACTTGGTGCAGAAGCCACACTTCACACTTGTACAGAAGTCCATGTTCCGGGTCATTTCCCCTCTGCAGTGATAGTGGTAGTAAGGGACAGTGGAATCATTTAGTTTGTGAAAGATAAAGGGCAAAGGTCACTCCATCTTCTAGGTCTAGGAAAGAGGAAAAGATGGAGGGTACTTTCACTGTCTACTTCCCCTGAACATGTGGCTTTGTTGTGTCTTCCAGGAACCAAGGTGTTTGTGATGCCCAATGGGATGTTAAAAAGCAACCAGCAGCTGGTGGACATTATTGAGAAAGTAAAACCTGAGATTCGGCTGCTGATCGAGAAATGTAACACGGTGAGGCACGGGCTAGTGACCTATGACTGGACCCAAATAGCTCCACTTGACCTATGGAATGAAGGGTGGGGTGGCAGGTTAAGTCTCTTGATTACTTTGTTTCTGACATCTGTCCTTCATGTACTTCATGGCTTTAGTAAAAAAAGACCAAGGTCCTTCTACATGCATTTTGTCTTCTCACACTCTAGGTCAAAATGTGGGTACAGCTCTTGATTCCCAGAATAGAAGATGGGAACAACTTCGGGGTGTCTATTCAGGTAATGTGTCCCCTGCCTTGTCTCTGGTGCTGCTGTAGGGTGATGTTGAGGTAACTTGACTCACCTGTTCTTCTCCACAGGAGGAGACAGTTGCAGAACTAAGAACTGTCGAGAGTGAAGCTGCATCTTATCTGGACCAGATTTCTAGGTAGGGCTGCTTGGGCTGTACCTAGGAGTTGAACTGTTGAAGTGGGAGACATGTCCAGTGTCCCCTTCAGTTGCCTCTCTTTTTTCCTCCTTCCAGATACTATATTACAAGAGCCAAATTGGTTTCTAAAATAGCTAAATATCCCCATGTGGTAAGTAGGGGTTTTGGGGTCTGAGGTAGGGGTGGCAGGATAGGTAGGGTCCTGGAAATGAGCTGTCTCTGGGCATTTGTGCCTTGGAAGACTCGCCTCCCCTCCTTCCCATGCAGGAGGACTATCGCCGCACTGTCACCGAGATTGACGAGAAAGAATACATCAGCCTCCGTCTCATCATTTCAGAACTAAGGAATCAGTATGTGAGTAAAGTCAGTCCCTGCCCATAGCTGTCCTGGCTTTGCTTATTTCTCTGGTAATTTCTGGGAAACTGAATGGCCAGGATGGTATCTGCCTATAATCCCAACTGCTCAGGAGACTAAGCAGGAGGCCGGCTAGGGTATGTGAATAACTGTTCGTCAGCTGGGTATGGAGAGCATGAACTCGCTGAGGAAGTCTAGTTGGCTGTTTCTGTTCTGTCTAGGTAGAGGTGTTATACAGCATGGTCTTGGAATCAGAAAGATAGCTTTGTAACCAAAGCTTTCATGTAGTGAGTCGTTTGTTTTCTTTTGTTGTTTGGTTTTTAGACAGGGTCTCACTTTGTAGCCCAGGCTGGCCTGAAGCTTACTGTGTTGGTGTCAAGACTCACTGATTCTGTCTCCCAAATGCTGTGTTAAAAGATGTGTGCCACCATAACCAACCAGTTTTTTTTATTATTATTATTTATTATTATTATTATCTCTGTGTGTCAGTATGTGCATGTGTGAGAGTGCAGGTAGCTGGGGTTACTAGAAGAAGGTGGGGCTGGAGAGATGGCTCAGTGGTTAAGAGCATTGCCTGCTCTTCCAAAGGTCCTGAGTTCAATTCCCGGCAACCACATGGTAGTTCACAACCATCTGGAATGAGGTCTGGTGCCCTCTTCTGGCCTGCAGACATACACAGACAGAATATTGTATACATAATAAAGAGAGAAAGAAAGAAAGAAGAAAGAGAGAAAGAAAGAAGATGTAAGACTCCCTGGAATTGGAGTTAATGGCAGTTGTGAGTTGCCTGACATGGGTGCTAGGTACTGAGGTCCGGTCCTCTGCAAGAGCAATACCTGCTCCTGGCTTCTGAGCCAATCCCTGCAGCCCAGAAAATGTGTTCTTGATCATGTTCAAGCTCACACTTGGGAGTTAAGATTACCGACTACAAAAATGGGTTTAGCAGTAAATGAGGCTGCACATTAAAGGACTTTTTTTTTTTAAGATTTATTTATTATGTATACAGTGTTCTGCCTGCAGATCTTATTACAGATGGTTGGGAGCCACCATGTGGTTGCTGGGAGTTGAACTCAGGACCTCTGGAAGTGCAGTCAGTGCTCTTAACTTCTGAACCATCTCTTCAGCCCTAAAGGACTTCTTATACTTGTTAGTGTGGTAAATACTGGTAGCCTGCTCAAGGAATGGATATAGGAGGTCAAGTGATAGAATTAAGGTAACACGTGTTATTGCTTGATGAGGTAGAGGTTGAAGAAATGAATGATTCCCTGACCTTTCCTTTCCCAGGTCACTCTACATGACATGATCCTGAAGAATATTGAGAAAATCAAACGGCCCCGGAGCAGCAATGCAGAGACACTGTACTGAGGCCAGGGCCAGGGCCAGGGGACTCTGTGAGTCTGGCTCAAGACCGATATTGCCTTGGTTTGTTACATGACTATCGTGATGGGGAAACTGGCTGGAAATAGTAACCACACCTCTCTGTTTTTAGTTAGAGTCTAATGAAACTCTCATCTAGTTCTGTGATGTGTTTACCTCTTTTTTCAGGCCTCAGGAACTCTTCTATCTCCTTCCCCAAACCCCACACCCAGCCTGTCCTAATTTCTGGAGAACTCCAGATTTGTGCGAGATACTGGCACAAGAATTGTGGGGTTTTTGTTTTTCTTCCCTTCCCTTCCTCTCCTTGTTTTAAGTTTTGTGTTAAAAGCTGGAGGAACTGTAGGGAAAATGTTAGGTGTCTTTTAGGAACTGGGGGAGTAGAGGTGGGAGGGACATCTTCCTGTCACAGGCCAGTGTCTCTTGCTTCTGTGGGACTTTGGGTCCTCCCCACTGCAGCTGCCTTGGCGATGCCCTGGGGCTCTCCACCTGTGTCTACCCCTCCTTGAACCTGACCCTGACTAGGGATACCTTAGGCCTTCAGCTGTATCCCTAGAGCTCCTCTGGATGTTTTTATAACTGGGGTTTTCACAGATACTGTGTACACTTGTACACACGCATAGGGACATGTATACATGCTTCCTGCTCCATTATAGAACGTAGCCTTCCTTCCTGCACCACTACCCCTTCAGCCCCTGTCACACACGCAACACCTCAGCAGGTGACAGTTGTCTTAGTCATCCACCCAGGCAAGTCCCAGGCCCACCCTCTCTTCTGATAATGTAGCCGTTGGTGCCCAGGGTAAGTTGAAGGAGAGCCGAGGAGCAGAGGGCTCATGAAGGCCTTTCCTCTGTGACTCAGGTTCTTTGGTGTTATGCAAATCTGGCCCCTCTGGCCCTCACTTGCCCTTCTCCCAGGCCAACTTGTGCATTGGGTAGGGTGTGGGCAGCTATGAGGTCCAGAGGCTGCTCCTCCTCGCTGTGCTTTCCCTTTGGGAAATATTTCTCCTATTTATAGTATTGTGCTTCCAGGGAAAGCAGTAATTCATGTGTATATGTATCTGTGCACATACACACGTGCCCGTGTGTGTGTGTGTGTGTGTGTGTGTATAAATATGCTGCGAAGGTCAAACCCATGGAAGAGTTGCTTCTTTTGAATCTTCCAGAGATCTCACTTGTTACAGCTTTTGTGTTAACCCCATTAGCCCCCAGCTTTTTAAGTGAGAGTTGGTATCTGCAGTTAACCTGCCAGTGACTCTCAGTGTCTGTTTGGCTTTTACTACTCTCCGTCTTCCAACTCCAATCATATTCCACCTGGGATGCATCATTTCACTCCCAGTATTCTACAGAAAAGGAGTCAGGATGCTCTCTTCCCATGAATAGTGCTCAGTAACAAACCAATTGCATTTCAGTTGGGCAGTACTCCTACCCACCCCTCAGGTCCCTTCCAGCTAAACTCCTCCCCTCCCACCATGTGTTTCTCAGCTTCCCTTTTTGTTTGACTGTTCCACTGCCCCTCCTCACCCTACCAACCTTGGATTGTAATGTAAAATTCTTTTACCATGTCAAGAAATTATTAAAAATACAGGTACTTTGACCTCTTTCTAAAGCTGCAGACCCTTGTGCCATAATCTGGTGACTGAGGGACATAGTGTGAGCATTCAGACACCTTCACAGATGCCCTGGCCAGCCTGCTGTGTGTACACTTGCTATTGAACTCTTGCATCATGGTGGCAAGAGTGAGGCTTCTACACTGGGTGGTGGTGGCGCACGCCTTTGTTTTTTTTGTTTTGTTTTTCGAGACAGGGTTTCTCTGTGGCTTTGGAGCCTGTCCTGGCACTAGCTCTGTAGACCAGGCTGGTCTCAAACTCACAGAGATCCACCTGCCTCTGCCTCCCGAGTGCTGGGATTAAGGGCGTGCGCCACCATCGCCCTACAGGAGCTAGTTCCAGGACAGGCTCCAAAACTACAGAGAAACCCTGTCTCGAAAAACCAAGAAGATTCTTAAATAAACAAACAAACAAATAAATAAATAAGAAAAAACAAGAAGAAAAAAGAGTGAAGCTTTTGACCAGAGAGGGAGGTGGTTCCTGCTTTATTTTGAAGATAAATTATGTGAAAGCCTTTCCAGGAATTTAAACTGCCTCTCTGTCCATCCACCAGATCCTGATTCCTTCCCTGTGATACCCATGAGCTACCAGCAGAGGTTGCTGTGGTTCTGTGTGGGAACAGCCACTCAGGCACGCCCTATCCAGCCTTTTCTGTCATAATTTTCCTTTCTACATAATACTTGAACTTGTTTGAGGGGACCCCTGGGGATGGTTAAATGACTCAAAGTGTTTGCAGGAGTCTCATGTCCCTCAGAAGTAAAATGCCCTCCCCTTTTCTAGTAAGACAACTTTGTAGAGGTTTAAGGCCCCCAGCAAGAAAGGGACATCTATTTGTTCTGTCCCAGAGTTTAGTGTCGCTAGCTAACAAGTAGCTTTTGCCTGCTTTGTGGGATTATTAAGCACTTGTGTGTATGGTTGCATTTTATATATATGTTTTTTTGGTTGTGTCTATAACAGTCCTAGCGTTCCTGGAACTCAAGGACAGGCTAACCTCAAACTCAGACATCCACCTTCCGCTGATTGCTGGGGTTAAAAGTGTGTGCCACCATGCCTGGCTGTATTTTTTTTTTAATCTCTTTTTTGTTTGTTTGTTTTTGTTTTTTGAGACAGTGCTTCTCTGTAGCTTTGGAGCCTGTCCTGGAACTAGCTCTTGTAGACCAGGCTAGTCAGTCTCAAACTCACAGAGATCCACCTGCCTCTGCCTCCCAAGTGCTGGGATAAAAGATGTATTCCACCACTGCCCAATTCGTCATTTTTAAAGGCAGGTTGTCACTGAGGTTGGCCAGTAACTCACTATGTAGTTCACCTGGCATTGAACTAACAATCCTCCAGAGTGTTGAGACTGTGGACATAAGTGACCCTGTCCCACTGTGCATTTATAGGCAAGAAACTCGAGATGAGCAGCTTTAAGACTACCACAGCTTGGATGGGTTCATTGTACCAGTATGAACAGGAAGCCCAGAACCTCAACCAGTATTTTCTCACTAACTGGATAGATAATAAGGCCTGAGACTCCCAATTCAGATACTGCATTAGGTCCCAGGTAGAGCTAAGAACTTACTGCTGAGCTGGGCAGTAGTTCCAGGAACTATTGCTTGGGGCATGATTCTAGTAATGATGTTTTATTAGTTCTCCTGTGTGACACGGAAAGGATTATGCATCAAAATTGCCTTCTCAGAACTGTTTAAGGTCACAAGGAATTTGCATATCATTATCCCAATGCCTTCTCATCTGCTCTACTAATGGAAGGTTACAGACTATTAGCAGTTGGAGTTTAGGAAAGGAACATTTTGAGCCAAACCTCAGGACAGAAAATTGAAACAGAATTAACATAAAACATGATCAGAAATTTCCTGTCCAGCCCACGGGGTGGAGTTTTGTCCATAAGCTGTAATGTCAGAAGCAGAAAAGAGCTGCCGTTGGAGTGACTGCATCTCCGCGAACAACCATGGCTCTCAAGGTGCTGCTGGGGTGTCTGGTGCTCGCTCTCCTTACCGTCTTTGCTCTGACCTATGTCTTGCTGACCAGGCAAGGCAGTTCCAGCCAGTCTCCTCGATGCCCCTCCATTCCTCCCAGAATTCATCCCTGGACACACCATGGCCAGGGTCAGCTCTTTGCAGACCTGAGCCCCGAGGAGCTAACAACTGTGATGAGCTTTCTGACCAAGCACCTGGGGCCAGGGCTGGTGGACGCAGCCCAGGCTCGGCCCTCAGACAACTGCGTCTTCTCGGTGGAGCTGCAGCTGCCTGCCAAGGCTGCAGCCCTGGCCCACCTGGACGGAGGGGGCCCGCCGCCTGCCCGAGAGGCGCTGGCCATCATCTTCTTTGGTGCACAACCCCAGCCCAACGTGACTGAGCTGGTGGTGGGGCCCCTGCCTCACCCGTCCTACATGCGGGATGTGACCGTGGAGCGTCATGGTGGGCCTGTGCCCTATTACCGGCGCCCCAAGCTGAGAGTGGAGTACGTTCAGATTTGGAGGTATTTGAAAGAAGTGGAGCTCCCAAAGGCACCCACTTTTCTGGCTTCTGTCTTGAACTACAATGGCTCTACCTTGGCACCTCTGCATTCTTCTGCTAGTGGCTTCCAATCAGGGGACCGGACTACCTGGATAGCCCTCTACCATAACATCTCAGGTCTTGGAATATTCCTTCACCCTGTGGGGTTGGAGCTACTGCTGGAGCACAGAGCCCTGGACCCTGCCCACTGGGTGGTCCGGCAGGTCTTCTACCTTGGGCACTACTATGCAGACTTGGCCCAGTTGGAATGGGAATTTAAGGCTGGCCGCCTAGAAGTGGTTCGGGTTCCTCTGCCCACACCAAATGAGGCTTCCTCCCTGAGGTCTCGAGTTACTCTGGAACCCCCACTTCCCCCTCTTCAGTTCTCACCCCAGAGTCCCCAGTACAATGTGCAGGGAAACTTAGTGGTGTCCCCCCTCTGGATGTTTACATTTGGTCATGGTGTGTTCACTGGCTTAAGACTTTTTGATGTTCGGTTTAAGGGTGAGCGTGTGGCTTATGAAGTCAGTGTCCAGGAGTGCCTGACTGTTTACGGTGCTGATTCCCCCAAGACGATGATGCTCCGTTACTTGGACAGCAGCTTTGGGCTTGGCCAAAACAGCCGAGCCTTGGTTCGGGGGGTGGACTGCCCTTACCAGGCCACAATGATTGACATCCATGTATTAGTAAGCACAGGGGCAGTCCGGCTGCTCCCAGGGGCTGTGTGTGTATTTGAGGAGGCCCAAGGATTACCCCTTCGAAGGCACCACAACTACATAGGGGGTCATTTCTACGGTGGTTTGGCCAGCTCAGGCCTTGTGGTCAGGTCGGTGTCATCAGTGGGCAACTACGATTACATTTGGGACTTTATACTGTATCCAAATGGGGCGCTCGAAGGGCGTGTCCATGCCACAGGCTATATCAACACAGTCTTCCTGAATGGAGGGGCTGAGAGCCTCCTCTTCGGGAACCGCGTGGGAGAGCGAGTGCTGGGAGCAGTGCACACACACGCTTTCCACTTCAAGCTGGACCTGGACGTGGCAGGTGAGTTCTGGGGCTGAGGCTTGAGGGTTGGAAGTAGCACACAGTGCTGGAAGCTTCCAGACCGGGCTGCAGTCTGAAAGGTGGTGAGGACAGCCTAACCTCCGGAGGAGGAGGATTGTCTGAGTGCCGCTCTAGTCACACCTGGGCATCTGGTCAAGGATGAAAGGGTTCATCTGCCCAGCTCCCACCTTCTGGTTCCTTCCCCCAGATCTGCAGTTGTGAAACTAACTTAATGTAATGGCTGTGCCCTGCTGCCTTAACCAGAGAGATTGACCCAGTGAGAATTGGATGGGACTAGAGCCAGCACTTGGCCTCTTGAGCTCAGGGTGGGTGGATGGGACAAGGACCTGAGCAGAGGTAACCAAAAGTCTGGTTGAAGAGTTTGCCGTAGGGCTAGGGATGCTGTGGTCTGTACATGGGGAGGAAAGGTGTCAGGGTTGGGGATAGCTCTGCAGTTAGTGCCACTTAACAGTGTGGGAAGGCCACCCTCTCCTGTCATCACTATTAACAGTCCTCTGTTGTGGCAAGTCTGGGATAAGCTGGCTGCCAGTCTGGCGCTTGCTGCTCCTGGCAGACTCTGGAGGAGAGAAAACAAACTCATCAAAGCACATGGACCCAGAAAGAAGTCAACTCCACCAAGACCTTCATTTTACACTTGGGGAAACTAAGGAAGGCAGGGGAGATGGAACAGGAAGGAAGTGGCTGCCCAAGTGTAATGTCTGACCAAACACCTATCTTGTGAAACATTCTCGAGTGTGAGGCCCTGGCATGTGTACCTTGCACACTATGCTTGCGTTTGTGGTTTTTGGGTGTGGGGAGGTGGTAGGGGGTAAGAGACCCAAGACTAACATGATGACCATATATTATAATCTGCAATACTCACAATCTGACAATTGGAAAATACTCAACATCTTTGGCTTTTAGAGTGTGTATCATGGTCACACATTTAAGGGAACCAAATGTCCTGAGCCTCGAGGAAAAAGTGCTGTGCTGGGTGATGCAGGGTTTGGTGCATGCAGTAGGATCGAAGAAGCTACAAAGCTCACTTTCGAAAGACTGGCAGTAGTGTCCCCTGTGTTAAGAGAGTGGAGTCCTGGAGCTGGGAGGAATCTGCAGGGACTGTGGAAGAGGACTGGCTTTTCCGTGTCACTTCAAGTCTCTTTCATAGTCACAGGAATGTTTCAGTCAGCATGTGTTTTTCCATGTGTTGAGCATAGCCATAAAACAGTATTGTGTTAGCCATTGAGATTCAGAAGGTGAGAGTGAGAAGCAAACTGTTGTAGGGTCTACTGGGTAGGCCCATACTAATAGAGTCTTCCGTGTTGTGGCTGCCCTAAGTCTCCAGCCATATGTGACTGCCACGTGGTTTAAGACTGGGTCTCGCTATTTAGTAGGTTGGCTTTGGACATAGCCCCTTCTTCCTTCCTTCCTTCCTTCCTTCCTTCCTTCCTTCCTTCCTTCCTTCCTTCCTTCCTTCCTTCCTTTTCTTTCTCTCCCTTTCAGTTTTGAGACAGGGTCACACTATGTAACCCTGATTATATTGTAACTTTGTAGATCAGTCCAGACTTGACTTGGCAGCCGTCCCCTGCCTCTGCCTCCCAGGTACTGGATTTCAGGTATGTGTCACCCGGCTTAGCGATGCTTGAGCAGCTAGTGTGACTGACGAACTGGATTTTCAGTATATGTAGCCACATGTGACCAACAATTATCCGATTGAAATGGTGGGTTAGCCCTTGCCCAAGCTTATGACTCCGAGCATAGCGTTCTCTGAGGCCTGTGGTCAGATAGTAATATAGGCATCAAGAGGAAACCAAGGATTCTGTCTGAGCAACCTCACCCCAGTGTAGAATTCTCCCTTTCCTCATCCTGACAGGCTTGAAAAACTGGGTGGTAGCTGAAGATTCGGTGTTTGAGCCTGTAGCAGCCCCCTGGAGCCCGGAGCATCAGCTACAGCGCCTACAGCTGACCAGGCAGGTCCTGAGCAGGGAGGACCAGGCTGCATTTCCCCTGGGGAGCTCCCTTCCTCGATACCTTTACCTGGCTACCAACCAGACCAATGCCTGGGGCCACCAGCGTGGGTACCGAATCCAGATCCACAGCCCTCGTGGTATCCATGTACCTCTGGAGAGTGACATTGAAAGGGCTCTCAGCTGGGGAAGGTGAGGAGGGCCCTGGGAATGGGTGTGAGGGAAGGACTTGTCCCCCAGCCGTACCCTGGACCTGCCTTCAGATCCATGTCGATATGGGATGGGAAATAGTCTCAGCATCCGATCCAAGGGACTTGTAGGACTGTAAAGCTCTGATTTTTCCAACATCACCTACCTACAATTCCTGGTCAGATACCAGCTTGTGGTGACGCAGAGGAAGGAGGAGGAATACCAAAGCAGCAGCATCTATTACCAGAATGACCTGCGGACCCCGACCATGGCCTTTGCTGACTTCATCAACAATGAAACCCTCTTAGGAGAGGTTGGTAGCTTCAGAGGTAGAGGAGAAGGCCTTCACTTTTCCTGGCAACTTGGCTGGCCAGCCTCCACCTAGTGCAGGTCATCCCTACTAGGGGGCAATTAGTCACCACACTAGGACCCCACCCAGCTCCTTACACAGGTCATGAAGTGTTCTTTGTAGGAATGTGGTTGGCAGAGGCAGAAGCCAGGCTGAGGCTAGAGGCTGGGAAACTGCAGCTGGGAGGACATTCCTTGCCTCCAAAGGCCTCTGCTTTTCCTCCTTGCAGGATCTGGTGGCTTGGGTGACAGCCAGTTTCCTGCACATCCCCCATGCTGAGGACATCCCCAACACAGTGACTGTGGGGAACAGTGTGGGCTTCTTGCTCCGACCCTACAATTTCTTCGATGAGGATCCCTCTATCTTCTCCCCTGGCAACATCTACTTTGAGAGGGACGAGGATGCGGGGCTGTGCAGTGTCAACCCTGTGGCCTGCACCCCACAGCGGGCAGCCTGTATACCCAACTTGCCCTCCTTTTCCTATGAAGGCTTATAGAGGCCTGAGGCTGTGGTAAGACCCCAGGGGGCCAGGGAGTGAGCCGCAAGCACCTCTATTCTATCTCCTGTGGTTTTATCACCTGCCCCATCCCCACCCCAGGTCTCCACCCTCTGCTCCTTAGAAAACAGCCTCTGGCCACACTAAATCCCTGGGCCTCCTCTTCTGGGTTGATTCTTGCCTCCTGCCTGTGTTTTTTTTTTTTTTTTTTTTTTTTTTTTTTCTATTTGAGACAGGGTCTTTCTATGTAGCCCCGGCTGTCCTGGAACTTGCCATGTAGACCAGGCTGACTTCAACTTGCAGAGATCTGTCTGCCTTTGCCTCTGAACTGCTGGGATTAAAGACATGCACCACTACTCCTGGCTTCTGCTAGCTATTTAAATGATAATTTGTTTAAAAGTGTTTTTGGAATACTCAAACAAAATACCACAAATTCTACCATTTCAAAACTCGCTGGGGTTCACATTACACCAGGCCTTATCTTACACGTGTGTATCTCAAAGGAACGGTTGTGTGTAACTGATAATAAAATGGTTTGCAAAACTTTTACTTGAGTTTACTCTTTGGCTTTTGAAAGCATGTGGAGTTCCCGGGAGAATATTAAGAACTTTAGCCAAGGAAGTTTAGCAACAGAAAGATACACAGGAAGGGAGGTTAGACCTGGCCAAGGAATGTTGCTTGGGAAAGAGACTGGAGGTGGGGGGTTTCCTTGGCAGATGATCCTTCCCAGTGAAAGCAAAAGAAGCAAGCTCGAAAGGTGGGAGCGGGGGAAGAACTTGGCCTGGGGGGCACAGGGCTATGGGGCAGACCCCACTCCTTGCTGGTAGTGGGTTCCCATGCACAGACTGGGTTCCTCCCCCTTCTCTCAACCCAAACCCTGACCCAGAGAGCACATTCTGATGGGGAAGCTGGAGGACAAAGCCATGTAAGGTCTGTGAATATCACTGCAGCCAGCTCAGAGCCGCCTCCAACTCTGGCTCCAGCCTCCCTGTTCCCGCCCTCAGACAAAGCACCAGAATGCAAAGAAGCTGCTAGCATCTGGACTCAGCCGAGAAGAGTCCGCGTCTGATGGAAAGCTGTCCGTCTGCAAGGAACGATGACCCAGAAGACTACCCTGGTGCTCCTTGCTCTGGCTGTCATCACCATCTTTGCCTTGGTTTGTGTTTTGTTAGCTGGCAGGAGCGGAGATGGGGGTGGACTGAGCCAACCTCCCCAGTGCCCCTCCGTTCCTCCTAGTGCCCAGCCCTGGACAAATCCTGGCCATGGTCAGCTCTTTGCAGACCTGAGCCCCGAGGAGCTAACAGCTGTGATGAGCTTTCTGACCAAGCACCTGGGGCCAGGGCTGGTGGACGCAGCCCAGGCTCGGCCCTCAGACAACTGCGTCTTCTCGGTGGAGCTGCAGCTGCCTGCCAAGGCTGCAGCCCTGGCCCACCTGGACGGAGGGGGCCCGCCGCCTGCCCGAGAGGCGCTGGCCATCATCTTCTTTGGTGCACAACCCCAGCCCAACGTGACTGAGCTGGTGGTGGGGCCCCTGCCTCACCCGTCCTACATGCGGGATGTGACCGTGGAGCGTCATGGTGGGCCTGTGCCCTATTACCGGCGCCCTGTGCTAGCCAGAGAGTATCAGGATATCGACCAGATGATCTTCCACAGGGAGCTGCCCCAGGTTTCTGGGCTCCTCCATCACTGTTGCTTCTATAAACAAGGGGGCCACAACCTGCTTACGATGACTACAGCCCCCCGTGGTCTGCAATCGGGGGACCGGACCACCTGGTTTGGATTGTATTACAACCTCTCAGGGGCTGGGTTTTACCCACACCCTATTGGCTTGGAGCTGCTGGTAGACCATAAGGCCCTGGACCCAGCCCTGTGGAGCATCCAGAAGGTGTTCTTTCAAGGCCGTTACTTTGATAATCTGATTCAACTGGAGGAGAGCTTTGAGAATGGCCTGATAAATGTGGTGCTGGTACCAAACAATGGCACAGGTGGGTCCTGGTCCCTAAAATCCTCAGTGCCACCGGGTCCAGCTTCCCCTCTGCAGTTCCATCCCCAGGGACCCCGCTTCAGTGTCCAGGGGACTCGAGTGGCCTCCTCGTTGTGGACTTTCTCTTTTGGCCTTGGAGCTTTCAGTGGCCCGAGGATCTTTGATATTCGCTTTCAAGGGGAGAGGGTGGCCTATGAAATCAGTGTTCAGGAGGCCATAGCTCTGTATGGTGGCAATTCCCCAGCAGCAATGCTGACCTGCTATATGGATGGTAACTTTGGCATTGGCAAATACTCTACCCCACTGACCCGTGGGGTGGACTGTCCTTACTTAGCCACCTATGTGGACTGGCATTTCCTTCTGGAATCTCAGACCCCCAAGACACTACGTGATGCATTTTGTGTGTTTGAACAGAACCAGGGCCTCCCGCTACGACGACACCACTCGGATTTCTACTCCCACTATTTTGGGGGTGTTGTGGAGACAGTGCTTGTGGTCAGATCTGTGGCTACCTTGCTCAATTACGACTATGTGTGGGACATGGTCTTCCATCCCAACGGGGCCATAGAAGTCAAATTCCATGCCACGGGTTACATCAGCTCAGCATTCTTCTTCGGTGCTGGTGAAAAATTCGGGAACCGAGTTGAGGAACACACACTGGGCACGGTACATACTCACAGTGCTCACTTCAAAGTGGACCTGGATGTGGCAGGTGAGACAGTCTGAGGGACATCAGGGAGGGGGATAAGTGTCGTTCCTGCTTTGGGGTTTATGTAGGTAATTCACAAAAGAAAGATTTGGGGTTTCATGCTTCGTTGTAGGCTAGTTGGGAGAGATGGCAGCCAGATTTTACTCGGATTGTAGCTCCCTAGCTGGGTGTAAAGCTGCCCGTTTCTATATATGTGACCACCTTAGGAAACCTTGGGAAATGGCTAAGCTGAGGGAGAAGGCAGCATCTGGTTTCCCAGAGTCCCTTGAGCGCACATGGGCCTCTGTTCAAGCACGCAGCAGTTTGTTTCCCAGCACAGCTCTGTCCCATGTACGGTGCTGCAGCTCTGGAGTGTTTGGGTCTGCTGAGTCTCTGGGCGTGCAAGCGAGGCTTGGAAGAACCGTTGCTCCACATTCCTGTGAGAGATGGACCCTCCTCTGTCTTGATTTTTCAGCTCTTTCTGGGCACCCTTGGCTTCAGTGCAGGGGGATAGTGGGTACTGGGGAGAGGTTCCGGCTCCTGAGGTTTGTGGTCACAGAGACAGCCAAGGCTGTCATGATTTCCTGAAGATCATCTTTCTTTTTTTTTTCCCTACATTGAGTCATCAACTGATTTTTTTTTTCTGTTCTCAATATGAAATATCTCAGAACTCTCACTGGGTCACTGTTTCCACTCCTTTTTTGGGGGGAAAGGTGGAGTTCGATTCAGTTTCTCCATGTAGCCCTGGTTGTCCTGGAACTCATTCTGTAGACCAAGCTGACCTTGAATTCACAGAGACATGAGCGCACACGAGTGGTACATGAGTGTACATGAGCGCACACGAGTGGTACATGAGTGCACACAAGTGGTACACGAGCACACACGAGTGGTACACGAATGGTACATGAGTGTACATGAGTGCACACGAGTGGTACATGAGTGCACATGAGTGATACATGAGCGCACATGAGTGGTACATGCCACTGGAAACCAGAGCTGTTGGATCTCCTTGAAGCTGGAGTTCCAGGCACTTGTGAATGGCTCGGCATGGGTGCTGGGAGGCAAACTGCAGTCTGGTGGAAGACCCAGCACTCTTAACCACTGAGCCATATCTTCAGCACCTGAATATTTAAATTTATGGGTTAATAGTTTTGTCTGAAGGATGGGGGAGGTCTTGGGACAGGGAGGGACACTCTGAAGTCAGGTGGGTGCCAGAAATGTCCAGAGTGGCCCAATGACTAGCCCTTACACACTTTACACAGGGCTGAAGAACTGGGCCTGGGCAGAGGACATGGCTTTTGTCCCCATGAACGTACCTTGGCGCCCTGAGCACCAGACACAGAGGCTGCAGGTGACTCGGAAGCTGCTGAAGACAGAGGAGGAGGCTGCCTTCCCCATGGGGGTTGTCACCCCTCGCTACCTGTATCTGGCCAGTAACCACAGCAACAAGTGGGGTCATAGGCGAGGCTACCGCATCCAAATCTTCAGCTTTGCCGGGGAACCACTGCCCCAGAAAAGCCCCATAGAGAAAGCCTTCAGCTGGGGGAGGTGAGTGGCAGGTGATCAGAGATGGTTGGGGAGGTATGCCCTGGGGTGCGGCAGGGGCAGAGGATGGGTACCTGGAAACAGATTAGACTGTTTCCAACATTGCCTGTCTCTGGGCACAAGGGGTATGGGTAGGGCTGTCATATCCCCTTAGAGGACTAGAGTCAGGGAAGAACTCTTTTCTGTTCAGGGGTGGGGTGGGCTGTTCTGTGCAATGGCAGGGGTATGACATGAACCTCCTCCAGTGTGGTGTCAGGGGTTCTAGAGCCAGGTGTCACTGTGTGAGCATATGTGGAGGTTGGTCAGAGCACAGACCTTGCCCCCATCGGAAACAGGCATCATGTTGGTCTTAGCAAACATGGAGACCTAACCAGTGCCCTTCTAGGTACCACTTGGCTGTGACCCGAAGGAAGGAGAAAGAGCCTAGTAGCTCTAGCATCTTCAACCAGAATGACCCATGGACCCCCACTGTGGATTTCTCTAACTTCATCAGCAACGAGACCATTGCTGGAGAGGTGAGCTGCCGGTGGGATGAACCGAGATGGGGGTACAAGGATGAGCTTTCCCTTCTCACGGGTGGGTCCCTGGAAACCATCTGAACTCCTCAGCAAAGGAGCTGGTTCTTGCCTTTTGCCCGTCAGTGGATGTGATCATGACATCTAGAACAGCAGTTCTCAGCCTTCTGGATGCTGGGATCCTTTCATACAGTTCCTCATGTTGGGGTAACCCCCAGCCAGAACATTATTTCATTGCTATTTCTTAACTGTAATTTTGCTACTGTTATGAATTGTAATGTAATATCTAATATGCAGAATATCTGAAGTGTGACCCCCCCCAAGAGGTTGTGACCCACAGGTTGAGAAGTCATGTGCAAACGACTGGGTCCTAAAGCCCTCAAAGTCTCAGGTTTGTGGCCTGAGCCCTTTCCAGGCCTGAGGTTTTTTACAGAGAAAACCACAGACCACAACAGCTCCCATCCCTGCCTTGAAGGGTGCATTCTACATGTCAACTTGAAACCACTTTTTTTTTTGAAGATTTATTTATTATGTATACAGTATTCTGTCTGCATGTTTGCCTGCACAGCAGAAGAGGGCGCCAGATCTCATTACAGACGGTTGTGAGCCACCATGTGGTTGCTGGGAATTGAACTCAGGTCCTCTGGAAGAGCAGCCAGTGCTCTTAACCTCTGAGCCATCTCTCCAGCCCGTTCCCACCTTCTAAGGTCTGAATGTCCCTGTTCCACAATTCTCCCCTGAGTTACACTCTGGGGGCTCTTAGAGAATTAGGAAAGAAAAGCGGAAGTCGCCTGGAGTGATCACCCTCCGGTGT